GGGGGGCGGGAGCGGGGGCTGGTGGCGCCCGCCGTAACGGCCTTAAGGGGGCGAGGAGGGGGGCGCCTTCGGCGGATTTGGGCGCCAACACGCCGACCTAGGCGCTCTGCCTACGAGTGTGTTGTCCTCGTCGCACACCCAGCCGCCGCCGTCACGGGGAGGCTCGTCGAGAGAGCAAGAGAGACAGCGAGGAGGAAAGGGGGGAGGATCACGGAGGCATCGAGAGGGGAGACGCAGGGCGCCCTAAGACCGGCGGCAACAGCGAAAGTTTGTGTCATAGCGGGGTCGAAGGGGAGGCGAGAGGGGGGGGGGGGGGCAGTCAGTGGCCGCCGAGTGAGAGGACTTCATACGAGAAAATACTGGAGTAAGATGGGGGCAGGCGTATAGGTAGGGGGTCGCTGAACGCTTGGGGCAAAAGTGTGCAAGGCTCTGCTGATGTTTCGAAAGAGCGGCAAACTCTTGATATACTTTTGCTCATGGGTATCCCCTACATATCTACACTGCACAACATTTAATGACAACGCTGGTAAAACAAGTATTTTCTTTTCCACGTCAATTTATGTTTCAAGTGTCAGTTCAAGTGTGCATTTTCTCAACGGATTGTGGTTTTTATCTAAATTAAACTTCAATTGGTGTTTAAACTTTTGTTGCCTCTAAAAAGTATGGCAGCTGCGCACCATATGGTTCCCATTGAGCATTGAACTGTGTGTGTCCAAGTGTGCGAAATTTAAACCTTTACAAACCTTTAACCTTAAACCTTAAACCTTTACTCTGTCAATTCAAATGTGTACATGGTACACATTAAAGAAAGTGTACATGGCATGTATGCTTTAATTAATGTTTACATGGCTATGTACACATTTATAAATGTGTACATGCCCATGTACACATCTTTTAAAGTGTACATACAACCGTTAGTATACATGCCATGTACACTTTCTTTAATGTGTATATGTGGACATTTGAGTCGACAGAGTAACATTTGCACACCACGCAAGTGGGCAACTTGAGCTAAACACCATGTAATGTGCAAAATCATAACTTGCACACGTTGGTGGGCAAATTGTGAACACTTCTTTTACCAGTGAAACCCTACTGAAACCTACAATATTCAATCCAGCATTCGAGAACCGCATGAAGAAAAGCCCTATGCATTCGCGTGTTTTGCCCTAGGACTGATATGCCACGGAGTGGGTGAAAAGAACTTCGTTCTTTTACGTTATTTGATCCAACTTATTAGGAGTATTTTTCTATAAAATACCCAGGAGAACCAGTTTTGAGAATGTCGCACACTTGTAGGTGTGTTCGTTACATTCGTACAAACGGAGGCACAAAAAGTGAGAATTTTGAAAGAAAATTCACACCTTTGCTCCATTAAGTGTACAAAATGGGCATTCACATACGTTTCTAGAGTTTTTATTTTTATAAATAAGATGTCGTCTAGAAAGTCGTTTTCCTGAACAAAACTGCCAGTCCAGCCAATTCACACCTCAGCTAAGTTGGTCAATGCTTAAGCTCATAGCGCCTGGCAGGTAGGCCACATCTTGCCTGCAGTGCAGGCGTGTGCTGCGGGATGGCCTATCCTCAGTCTTGCAGGCGCCGACCTCACATAATGCTGTACCGAAAAAAGTGCGAAAAACGGGGATGTACTTACCAGACAATCGCTAAGGAATGCCACTAGACTTGTTTCAACATAGAAAATTTATGTATATGATTTAGATTTATATATAAGTATGTACACTGGAAACAATTTTAAATGTCACACATTCAGGTGCAAAGTGGTACACTTATGGAAAAGGCGTGAATTTTTCTTCGACATGCCTCTATTTCTACGAATTTTGTCCACACACCTACAAGTGTGGGACATACCAACAGTACTTGGGTTTCGGGGGTTTCCGGTGAAGATTTCTCTTACCCAGAAGGGATTTGCAAAACAAAAAGAGAGAATATTTGACTAGCAAAACATTCTTCAATGCAGCACTATTCAAGATTATTTTCTAAATCAGAAAAGTATTTTTTTTGACCTCAAATAAAAGTGTTTCTAATTCGAAAAGAAAAGTTTGTTGAATCTCATTGGAAAGGCTATTTGAGTTAAAGAAAGAGAACAGTTCCTCAGAATCTGTACAAAAAGAGGCGATTTTGGTGTCGAGCGAATAAGGCTTGACTTTCTCTCGCGGTGTATGGCGTGGGGGCCCGGGCGCTGCTCGTGTGAGGCGGGGGGTAAAAGTGCGTAATATGAAAAGGTGATATGAAAGGATAAGGACGGCGTGGGCGGCCGGGCGACGAGTCGAGGAGCGGGGGAAATAAAATTATCATTTTCAACGTCTCCCCAATCCCCCGCTCCGCCGCCACCGTGGACTGCGAAATTTCTCACGAGTCGCGCGACTTTCCAGCTGCAACTTTGTTAACAAAAAAAATAGCCCTCATTTTCGAACCTACGCGGTACTATGGTGTCGTCGCATCAACCTGCGGTTGTTCTTTTCAAACCAGTTTCCACATTGGTTTGATATTACATAAGGTTGGAAGGCCTGGAAAGTTTCCGGAAAATATCCGGGAAAAAATAAAAATTTCCCAGACTTAGGAAGTTTTCCGGTATTTTCCAAAAATTTAATTCGGGAATTTTTCGGAAATTTTCCGGAAAATTTTGGAAATTTCCAACTATATTATTACATAACCGTTGTTAGTTAAAGGCGCGTATTCCGAGGGAAAGTCACACGACAGTGGTAGCACAGTGAAGTGTAGTAAGACGTGATTTGCAACGTGGAGGACCGGGGGGAGGAGAGGGGGGCTGCAGGGTGGTCGCGGGAGCGTCCCAGACGATACCCCGCGCTCGAGCGCCCCCATTTTGGGGAAGAGGCAGGGGGAGTGAGAGAGAAGGAAGATCTCGGCAAGTCGGCGGTAGGCCAAGTCTATGCGCACGACAAAGTTTATCCATCTACTGATTCTCGACGCCGATAATGCACAGTTTCTGACGAATAGCTGGATTTAAAAAATATGTTGTACTAGGTGAAGACGTTTATTGTGCTGTTTGAATTTGAGTGCATCTTGCCGATAAAGAGGTAAGGCAAATTGTTTCAAAATCTAAAAACTGTTTCGTGGAAAAGAAGGCGCCGCCATATCTCCTGAGCGCGCCTGTCGGGTAGGCCAGCGCGCCACGAATGTCTGGTGCCTGCCAGGCTGCCTCGCGCGACAACCCAGCGCACCACAGAGTAGCACAGTCGCACAAGAAAGATGACAACCCCCGCATTTAGGTTTTCCCCCGCGGTTTTTCCGCTTGGGAAAAAAATTCCCTTACCTCTCTGGCAATTTTGCCTCCGGCTTAGTGTTCCAGAAAGTATATGTAGATTAAAATATTGTCCAAAGATAACGCTCCTACTAAACGCCTAAACGTCTGAAAACATAGAGATTAAAACCGGCGCCACCACAACGCTTCTTACTTTAGTTCGCAATACCCGATGATTTTTGAATGAAAATATTATTGACAACTAAATATTTTGGTGCAAGTGATGGACATGTTTTAAATTCGTTATTCCGGCTTAGAATATAAGCATAACCACACTGATCTAAATTGCTTCATTTAAAACACTGTGAGAAAAAATTTCAGAGGAAAACCACGACAGGTTCCTGTGCGTTGGCGAAAACACAACTGACCCATACTGCAGAGACCGGTCACGAAATGACTCGTTATTTTTTTTTTTTTTTTTTTTGACAATATAGTTCGAACACGGTTTGAAATATCGTCATGGCGCAGAGGGTCGGTATGACTTTAACAGTTTACGAGACATTGTGTGGGAAAACTGAAATAAACTGACACATTTAATTGGGTGGCCCAACAGGACCTCTTTTGCACTCATTAAAACCGGTTGGGTAGTGACGCACAGTCACCCTGAACTCTCTCTCTCTCTCTCTCTCATCTTCAGTGTACAGCCGGCCCTTTTGCAACGGGAGGAAAAATGAAATGGTGGTGGCCAGTTTCTCTGCGGCCGCACGGTAGGAGGGGGCGGGCGTGGGGGCGGGCGGGGGCGGCTCTGGCGCCACCAGCATCCCCCTCCCGCTCCGCGCCGCCCCCCCCGCCCCCGCCGCCGCCAGAGCCCGCCAGTCTCGAGCGAGCGGGGCCGGCGGTCGGTTGGGTCGGGAGAGCGCAGGGAAGTCCTCTCCGGGGGCTGCGCTGAGCGGGCGAGCGAGCGAGCGGGCGCGAGGACGAACCGAGACCCGAACGCGCGCGGGCCGAGCCGAGCCGGGGCCGAGCCGGAGCCACGCGCGGCCGGGCCGAGCCGAGCCGTGCACATGCGTGTGTGTGAGTGTGATTTTGGCTCATAGTGAGTTACAGTGACCAGTGACAGTGGAGTGCACACACCTTGCAGTGGATTTTTCCTCGCCCCCGCCTCGGCATCACAATGGCCAGGTCAGTGATCCAGAGCTAATTTTCCGAGGCGCAAGTAGGGTTCAGAATTTCCAAAATTTTCCGGAAAATAACGGAAAACTAGGGATGGAAGCCCTGGAAAGTTACCCGGAAAAATTTCAGGAAAAATTCGGGACAAACTGGAAAATTTCCGGAAAAAAATTGAAAATTTCCCGAACTTTGAAAGTTTTCCGTTACTTTGCCGAAATTTTCAGGAAAATTTTGGAAATATTCAACCCTACAGAAAACTTCGAAAGTATGGGAAATTTTCCATTTTCTCACCGAAATTTTACGTTTACTTTGGATACTCTCCAGAAACTTTTCAGGGCTTTCAACCCTATAAAAATCTCGTTCGCACCGCACTGCCAAATACTTCTTTCAGGGCAGTAGGATTTAATACAAAATATCTGGCCGTGGGCACACTAGCCCCTAGAAGTGTCTGAGACACGCCAGCATCCCGTTTAGTGTCTGAGACGCCAGCCTCTAGAACCGTCTCTGAGACATCAGCCCCTCTACTAATGTAGCCCCTATTCCAGTGGCTGAGACTACCAAAGTCCCTACTACGTAGTGTCTGAAACTACCAAGCCCCTACTATAATGTCTGAGACTACCCTGGCCGCTAGATAAATTTTCAGCCTATCGGCCTCTAATAAGTAGTGCCTTTATAACAAATTTTGTGCGCGTCTCGGTCCAGTTTGTCGGTTTTTCTCCGGCGCATCCCCCCCGCCAGCCAGACAATTTACGGCTCGAGATTCGTTTGCCATGAGGGGGCGTCCCCCGCGGCGGGGTGGGGCGGGG